GTATATTTTATTTAAAAAATAATGTTAAAAGTGTTCWGTGTTATATGACTATTATATTGAATTCTACTTATATTCATTATACACTATGATTTACAAATAATATGTATGTTGATATAACTATAACCTAATTGATGAGAAGTTAAAAAAAGTTTAAAGTTTAAAAATCTTTTTTTATGTATATTGTTATAAATTAAGGGATAATACTACTGAAGATATTTTGAATATAGAATATTTTTAATTGGGATATTTGTAACGGGGATATTTTCAACGTAGGATATTTGTGACGGGGATATTTTTAACGGGGGATATTTGTAACTTGGATATTTTTAACGGGGGATATTTTGAACGAGGGATATTTTAATGCATGGGATATTTTGAGGGTGCGCCAATTTGTTTCATCATTATATATATTAATCTATCCAACAATTATTGACATTGGGACGTGTGGCCTTCACACATTGCATAATGCTTTTAAARCTGGTGTAAAGGCACCTAAWTGGGAAATAATAGATTTCCTAAGAGCCATTTATAATTTATTTAAAAATGTTCCTGCTCGCAGAATAGATTTAATTAATTATTCTGGTTCATCTGAATTCCCATTGAAGTTTTGTGCTGTACGATGGTTGCAAAATATTATTGTGGCTGAACGGGCTGAAAAATTATTGCCTAATTTAAGAGCTTACGTTGAAGGTGTAAAAAATACAAACAGAGAGCCAACATCATACAGTTACAGTAAAATGGTGAAAGGATTAAGTGATCCATTTATACAACCCAAATTGGCATATTTTAAGACTATAGCAGGTCAACTTAAACCTTTTTTGAAACAATTTCAAAACGATGAACCTTTAGGTCCCTATCTTTATACTGATTTACAAAACATTTTACAGTTTATGATTAGCAGCTTTGTAAAACCAGAAATAATGGAAAAAGMAAACTTACAGAAATTGATGTTTTGGATAAAACTAAATTAATTGGTGCAAAAAAAAATAAACCTTGGTTTYAGTACAAGAGAAGCTATTCGTTCTATTGATTAATTTACTGACAAAGATATTTTAATTTTCAAAACAGATGGTCAATTAATTTTACAAACAATTTGTTTGAAGTTATTGTTAAAATCACCTATTAAGTATAAGATGGTAAAAGGTATATCATTTTGTGATCCAAGCATAATATWGTTTCATCTGTAAAGGTGGCATATTATAGATTTAAAGCTACCTTAGAAATATTTGTGGAAAATCATTGGGTTAGTGGTATACGAGTAGTAGGCGATAAACTTGAAAGAGAATTTTCTATTTTGTGCTCAAATAAAAGTTTTATAGAAAGAGCAAAACAATTTTCCCGGAATGAAGTAAGACTTGACAGTTTTTGGGCAAATATTGGCATTGTTTTCAACCTGTCATCTGCAATGATGAATGTATTAAACAAAGTTCTTATATTTTCATATGGTAATGCTTCTATAGAACGTGGATTTTCTGTAAATAAAGAATGTCTGATAACAAATTTAAAAGAGGAATCACTTATTGCTCAACGTCACGTATGGTCGGCTATTAATAAGGTTGGTGGTATAAGTAACATAATTATCTCCAAAAAACTTATATTGAATGTAAGAAATGCTAGACAACACTATGAGGAAGCATTAAAAATGAAAAAAAAGCTGATAGTGAACACAAAGAAAAACTTTCGAAAAAGAAACATATGATGGATTAATTACAACAGTTATGAGAA